GCCCCACGAACGAGCCTTATCAACAGCTAGATCATCGCACAAGTCCAGATCGGGCTCTTGACATTCAGGGTTTCCCGTTGACGAGGGCTGTGATCGAAGGTTGACCACTAACGTTACTACGGCCTATAGTTGAGCCAGTGGTGCCTAATTCTTTGCCTGTGTAGCAGGAACAGGAACGTTCCGATACGTTTCTATCTACTACATTGGAATCAGTTGCTTGTGATTTCACTAATTACTCAGATTAGGAATATGGATAATGCTTAGTATCGTGTGTATGCGTATATAATGTTTGTTCGTTTAAGTGAAGAGAAGCAGGTTGACATAATAACTGTTGTTTCGTGCAAGGAAAAGGTAGAACAAACAGACAGGAACAATAGTGAGAAAGAACAAACGTAAGGCATTTTATTTGCCCCCTTTAAAAAACGCCTTCCTGAAAACCCGAAGTGTTATTTGTTAACGGGACAGAGTATGCAATATTTATTTAGGGACTTAGGCTGTGGAGTTGGGTTCTAATTTTTGGAACCACTAATCCCACAGATTGCCATTCCACTGTTTGATGAGCTTGTGTTCCATTGGACAGGTCAGATTGTTGGAGTTGGAATACGAAACTTGCCTTACTTAATAATTACAAGGTAAGTTAGAGATGGTAGTGCTTTTATAACTCTAATTTGTTCAAAGATCTATACAAACCATCAGCTGTCAGAAAAGATTCAACCACAAAAAAGGGGGGGGGTAATTTAGGACAGCGATATAACTAAAGAGGGATAAAGGAGCGAAAGAGAGTTAAGGAGAGATCAGAGAGAGAGAGAGAGAGAGAGAGAGAGAGAGAGAGAGAGAGAGAGAGAGAGAGAGAGAGAGTGAGAGAGAGAGAAAGAGAGATACATACATACATACATGCATACATACATACATACATACACACATACATACATACATACATACATACATACATACATACATACATACATACATACATACATACATACATACATACATACATACAGACACACACACACAAACACACACACACACGCACACACAAAAACACACACATACATACATACATACATATAATACATGCACACATACATACATACATACATACACACACACACACACACACATACACACACACACACACACACACACACACACACACACACACAGATAGACAGACAGACAGACAGACAGACAGACATTATCTATTTGTGGTGGCCGAAGTTTGCTATTCAAAAGGAGTTTTAATGGCTGCATTGATCGACATGCGGTTTTCGCTAAAAGATTCTTTAAAATATTTTCCCGATCACGACGTCCTTCGTTTTTTCAGGTTTCAGTCAGTTTTGCTGCAAAAAGCTAAATTTCTTTATTTCGTCGATCGCCTTTGTAGGCCGACGCTTCTGTCTCTGTGATTTTAGAAAATCCGCCAGGTTTGTTTATTTCAAGTCGTACTTCCGTTCGATACTATCGCGCATTGTCGCGCAATACTGAACACTATTTTAAGGGTGCGACCGTATAGATCTAGCTTCATGTTGGCTAATATTGTTAATGCACCGATCAGTCCTTTCATCGAAAGGGGGCCCAGCTAGTAATATATACATGTTATTATGATATTATATTGGCGGTGTTTTTCTCTAACCATGTCTTGAGGAAATTTTCAGGAGAGAGCAAAAATGTATTTTCCGGAGTAATAATTCCCCAAATTTGTTCGTTTTTTAAAAATTTGTCTTCCAAGAGGACTTATCAAAAAGTTACATCATTTACCTGCTTTTCCCGTTTTGCGGCTATCGTACAAGATATTGTCGAGCACTTATACGGTCATAGAGACGCGCGAATAGAGCACGACATGATCAGCCGCAAGAACCAGCTAGGTGTTAAGGGAGCAGCCAGTTACACGATTAGGTTTCAAACTCAGTGTGTGTGTGTGTGTGTGTGTGTGTGTGTGTGTGTGTGTGTGTGTGTGTGTGTGTGTGTGTGTGTGTGTGTGTGTGTGTGTGTGTGTGTGTGTGTGTGTGTGTGTGTGTGTGTCTGCTTGTGTGTTTTATATATATATATATATATAATATGTATGTTGTTGTTATCATAGATCCAACAACAGCGGACAGCTGGGCTCTCGCCCTTCTGTCCAATGCCATGTAGTGATAAGTGCAGGTCTGCTGCAGTTGCTGTAATGTTCCATAGAGTGTGTTGTCTATGTTAGGTCTCGGAGGGAGAAGGGTAGCTCTGATGTCATTTAGGGCTGTGCAGTGGAACAGGTGATGCTCCACAGTCTCATATGCATAGTCACACAAGGGACACATTGGGGGAAGTTCCGGGTTTATTCTGTTCAGGTGGAAGTTGAGATGTATATGTTCTGTTCGTAAGCGGAATATTGTGGTCTGTTTCTTTCTCTGAAGGCGGTTGATATTGTCATTCCTTTTTGTTGTAGTCATGTTTGAAAACTGCTCTGCCTGTCTTTCCCAGGGCCCATCTGTTCATCCAATCTTGTTTGTTGTTGGTTTTGATGATTTGTTTTGCAGTGTTGTATGAAGTTGGAGTGTTGGGTTGTTCCTGTCTAGATCCCCGTTTGGCAAGTGTGTCTGCTCTGTCATTTCCAGGTATGTATGATTGTCCGGGGACCCACTGCATTACTAGGTTGATGCCTAGTAATGCAGTGGGTCCCCGGACACTCATATATATATATCGAAAAATTATTTTCAAATGTCATAAAATAGTTTTGTCACCTCCTATTTTCAAACTAACGTCCGTTCTGGTCCAGACGCATATATATATATATATATATATATATATATATATATATATATATATATGTGTGTGTGTGTGTGTGTGTGTGTGTGTGTGTGTGTGTGTGTGTGTGTGTGTGTGTGTGTGTGTATGTGAGGCAGCGTGGTGGAATCAGGCTCTCGTCAAAATAATCAAAGTGAAGAAACTGGCATTTTTCCGCAGGTTTGTGAATTTTTATCAAGCTTTGGGGTTTTGGCTCAACACCTGTCATGCCAATTAGAGAACTCATTTCTGTGTGGATTTGTCTAAAAAAATGTTGCTTAAAGGCACCAAAAATGTAAATTTTCAGTTACCACGGACTCTTAAGCTAAAGAAATAACTAATCTTTGGCTGCCATTTTCTCACTAATTTTACCTCTGAAAACAGGTGACCACCTCCTCCTTCATTTGCAAATATCTCGACATATATGCAAGATAAATAGATATTTTTTTCATCCAAATTAAAACAAGTGAACAAGCTCTAAGATGATACCAATAACTCTACAAGCCCAAAAATTGACGAGAGCCTGATTCCACCACGCTGTCTCACATATATATATATATTTATATATATATATATATATATATATATATACATATAAAGAGCCTAGAGGTTAAGGTTTTGGCCTCTCATTCTAAGGTCCCTGGTTCGAATCCGGGTAGCGACCGAAAAATTTTCTTCTCTGAAATTGTCTCCTTTCACCTCCTTTCCTGCTCTCTGGCAATATTCTGTTGTCTGCTTTCATTTCTACTTTCTGCCCCCACCCCCTCACCTCCTTTGCCCCCTCCTCTGGGCTCCTGGCTCTTTTTGCAGCCTTTCTACAGCTACTCCTTGGCTCCTCCTTACTGCTGTCTTTCTGCCACACCCCTGATCTTCTGGTAGGAAAGATCTACACCTAGCCTTCTCGGACAAGGTCGGAGAAGCTCGGAGGGCCCGTGTGCAAGTTGCGCACGTTAAAGATTCCTTGGTGGTCTAAAATCGATAAGAGTAGGCTTCGGCCGCCACCCGGCAAAATTCAAAATTTCCTACCGACTGAAAATATTAGGTGTGTTCCGCGCGCTCATATGACCGTATGCAGTTGCGAGCGCCGTAAAACACTTTACAAAAACAAAAGAGCCCTTCCTATAAAAAAGGGATACTGAAAAACAAACAGAAAAGTAGACAGACTGCAAAACAAAGAGGGAGGAGAGAAAAGGGGTCATACAGGCATCCAAAACAATTCAATATTGCCACATCCCCCCCCCCCCCCCCACATGTCCCTTTTCCTCGATTTATTTTACTGGCCATGCTATTTTTTAAATAAAAATAAACTATAGCTGTTCGCGTGCAAGTAACACGGAAAACAGAATAAGAGCTCACGGCATAACCAATCTTGTCCTGCTTTCGACCGCCGCTTTTGTCGTGACTTGTTGATAACAGTTTTGCTGTCACTATAAGAAAAATAAATCCGCTACATAGAAGGAAGATTAGATGAATTCATATTCTACATTATTTTACACCGTTATATATTCGTAAACTCAAAAATAAAATAAATCCGACACTTCTATTTCTACGAGATCTTGAATGCTACTTTCGTGAAAACTTGGAGGTTGTATGAGTGTGTGTGTGGGATTTCTTCTCAAAAGTGGCGCAAAGTTCGTCACCTCCGGAAGTATGAATGTGTCGTGAAGTCTGTTGTAGCCTTATAAATAGGTCGCTCATTGTATTTGTAAAACTAAAATTAAAAACTAAATAAATGACGACTTTTCCCCGCAAAAACATACTACTTTTATGGAAAATAATTGGGATGAGTGGGGAAAACGGGGGTGGGGGAGTGGGAGGGGGGTTGGAAGA